AGAGCGGTTGGGACCAATACGGAATCAAAGTCGGGATGCCGACACAACAACTCTCGATCAGGAGGTTGACGTGTATCTCTCCCGACAGCGCAGGCGTCGCGCTCGGCAGCGAAATGTCCGGAGGGATCAGAGATGTACGGATAGAGGATGTGACACTTATCAACACAGAATCTGCAGTCAGGATCAAAACCGCCATCGGACGTGGAGCTTACGTGAAAGATATATACGCACAGAGAATCACGATGAAGACGATGAAATACGTTTTCTGGACGAGTGGTTCGTACAATTCACACCCCGACGATCACTGGGACCCTAAGGCGATACCGGAGGTAACGAACATTAACTTCCGAGACATGACGGCTGAGAACGTGACCATGCCGGGAAATCTCGCCGGGATCGAGAAGGATCCGTTCACGGGGATTTGCATATCGAACGTGAACATAACGTTGTCTCCAAAGCCGAAGAAGGTGCAGTGGAACTGTACGAATGTCGCCGGAGTTACGAGCAGAGTGACGCCGGAGCCGTGCAGTTTGTTGCCGGGTAAAGGGTCATCGATGGACTGTCATTTTCCGACCGATAAGATTCCGATCGAGAGTGTTGTAATGAAGAAGTGCTCCGTTTGAAATAAGAGCGATGGAGACGTGACTTTGTGATTGTAGTTTCTTTTGCCAACATTTATAATAATACAATATATAATATTTGCTTTATGCACATAGAGGACCTTCATACAGCACAATGCAATTAAAAATGACTTTTATATTATACAATAAATGCATCTAACGCTTGTGATAGACTACAAGACTATATATACACATTGCAAAATACTTATTTTTTTAAAATTAAATTCGTGTTTGTTTTGTTGGAATATGGGCGTATGTTTATTGTAGGGCGAGATAACATAAAACATGTATAACGTGCTAAAAATTGCCTCTAAAAATTTTATCCATAGAATCATAAGTATCCCTTCAGTAACTTTCATGGGTTTGGATCAACTCATCGACGAACGACACTAGCGGTAGCAGGAAATTCATTGCTAAGACGTTTCTCTAGCTTGTAGTCTACGAAGTATGGAAAGAGAGAAATCACCGAATCTTTCGGCGGAAAACCCGAACGATAGTCATCATCAGGTGGAAAATAGACCGCACAATGCGGAATATACTTTTTCCTTGTCAAATACGAGCCCTCCACTTGGTATTAACTATACTTGAAAACTGGTATTATCTAACACGCGACATCCGTATGTCATAGGAAGAATACGATGGAGTGATCGATTCACATTCTTTGACCACTTGTTCGTAGATTTCTCATCTTTTGTATATAGTTTAGTTTTTCAGTTTTTTTAATAAAAATCACCTCCTCACAAAAAAAATAAAAATCATGGATTTGTTTGGTACGTACATGAAAACATTGTCTTAATTTACATACGGTCGATACAGTTAAAAAGACTTGTGCAATGAATCAGACAGTAAAAAAAAATGCCTTAACCAACATACTAACTGTCCAAATGAGATTTGGGGTACATATAACGGCGAACCATCGACCCAACCGTACGGTCATATTGGGTCAGATAGATGACGTTTGCAAACAGGCCCATAAAAGAACGAGCCCTTGAAGCAGCCCGTCAATGCATAAGTTTAGTGGCCCATCTCCTCCTCGATCTCGAGCATGTGCATCGGACCGTTCCGGTCAACGGATCGAACTCTTAATGCAACAGCAGTCACTATGATTGTCTCTAAAGGCCCAACAGTTATTGTCTTGATGTCCGGTGGGCCCATCGACATCTTGTGGGTCCAAGATGGTCCAAAAGTTTCGTCTATTTCTGGGCCGGGTATTCGGGCCGCCGGCGGCAAACCTTTTCTTACGGGGATTTTATTTTTCAATGGGGATTTTGATGATTACATGATATCCGCAAGACTATCTAAAGATTTTACTGATTGCATAAAACGGTGTCACTTCAAACATAAATTCTTAGAATCATCTTCAAATATTGACTCTTTTGAGCTTTTTTTTATTTAAAAAAAAAACTTTGTGAAGCATAATGGATCAAGATCGTTTTTGTAGGAACAGAAATTACATATGCATTCATGAAAATATAGAATTTCAAACGAATCTATGTGAATAAAAAAGCCAAGAGGAACTTAGGGTTTGATTTTCGAATGTGGGGTTTTTAGGGTTTGTTTCCTTTGGTTGACCCAGGCAAAGGTTTTGGACTAGCGGTATCCAGTCGAGTTGTCTTATACATGTGTATAAAAATATGGTTTGTGAAAACTATTTTAGAATATTCCGGTAATATTTATACTTGATTTTATATTCATATTTTAGACATTTCTTTTTTGGTAAACGCATATTTTAGATATTATGTTAATTAATTATGATATTTAAGGGTTATGGAAGAAACAGAAGATTTGTGTTTTATTTGATATTTTGTTAATTATATATTATATTTTCTATATGTAAATATTGTAATGGTGTACATTGAACAGTAGGAAAATTTCCAATATTTTTTTATTATTATGGTATCAAAGCCTCCAATATTTTTCTATCAAGGAATCTCCAATACCCTAATTAATTAATAAACATATCTAAAACACAAGCATAAAATCAAAACAAAATTATGATATTCGAAAATATTGTTTTGTACATGCACTCGTATCAGAAAGAAATCACTATGACTAAACATCTCTTATGCATTGTTGTATCTATTTGTTGTCTCCCATGCAGAAAATCCAAAAGACGGTTTTACCCTCAAGTTAATCCACCCTAACTCCCAAAGTGTCGCCGTTCCAAACCAAACACGAGTTTAATTTAATTTTTTAAAAAAATAAGTATTTTGCAACGTGTATATATATATAGTCTCGTAGTATGCATTCGTATAATGTAAAAGTCAAGAATTGCCCGAGAGTAAATCCATAACATATACTAAGGACGTTGTAACAAAAGTGTTATTACTTCTCTTCTTTCTCGGTCTCGGCAGTTCTCTTTCCCCTGGCACCGACATGGCGTTCGTTCATACGCTCTAGACGGATCTTGTCGTACGCCTTGAACGATCTCATGCCCTCCGTGATCTTCACAAGCTTCATCGCCGGCTTCTCCCTCGCAATCGGCATGTATGAGACTCCTTGCATTTGGGTTCCTTCGCAAGCTCCTCCGCAGCAGAATCACCGTCCTGCTCAAGAAAATAACACTCGGGTTTTCCGGTATGTTCCAAATCCGACCAGACATAAAACGGGTAAAGCTAGCCCCGATTTAAACACAGTGGAAGTTTCATGATGATGTACAAGTAATGGCAAGAGAAAACCCGTTGAGAGACAATGGCGAACGAGAGAGAGAGAGAGAGGTACCTAGAGAGAGGCGCTCTCGTCTTCCTCGGTGGCAGTTACTGAAAATTGGCTAGGGCTTCTGAAGGCTCCGCCTGTAAATATATAGCAGAAACCTAATATCAGATGCAGTTTCGGGCTTACCAAAATGGGCCCGGCCCATTTAAACTCTATAATATTTGGATATGATCTTCTTTTTCAAGGGAGAGACGTTTGACGTTTGTTTACCGGTGACAAATAAAGAAAAAATCCTAAACTTTTCAACTTATTAAAATTAAGACATATTTAAAATTCTTTATTTAAATCTCTCAACTATAAAAACGGATTAAAAAAACCATAAACATGGAGCAACAAACGACGTTAAATACCCACATCAGCATTAGCACTTTTCTATTTATGTTATATACAATATACAACTACATAACTCTTCCATTTATTTTATTTATTTTCTATTTATTTAATTTAAAATTGTAAAAATCTACGAACATTCTTTTATATTTGAAAAAAAAAACTAAATTCATTTTTATTGTGTGTTCCTTTTATATTATATTCTTGAAAACCACTTTTTTTCTAAAAAGATATAATATGTAAAACACACAGAAAATGTTAAGGAAAAATCCCAAAAAAAAAAATACTGAATTTTGCAATTTTGACAAAAAAACACTAAACTTTATTTTCTGTTTATATCTTCTTTTCAAAAAAAAAAACTTTAATATCAATAGTTGAAACATTTAAACAAAAAATTTATCGCAAAGTTTATTTTTTTTAGTTTTGTACCGTTTTACAAAACATATATTTTGTTTTTGATAACTATCTGTTGCAGGCGAAACTTAGGGGAGTAATGATAGATGCACGCTTAAAATTAAGGGGCTAACTTCAATTTTTAAACATTACAGAATACTTTTCCTGATTTTCTATTATTTATTTTCCCTAATATTTTGGGTTTGTATTTCGAATTAAAAAAAAAAACATTACCAATATTATCAATTGATTTTTTTAAAAAAATCAGAAATATTGGAAATCATCCCTGATCCGTCCCTACACTAAGCATTTTCTTTCTTTTTCAAACTATAGAGAAGATCCGAAGGAGCCAAATGCAAAATCAATCTTTAAATCCAGAATCAAATTTATATATATTTGAATTTGAAATAAATACATAACCTTTTACATCGGATTACCCGGTGGTAAGTTAACGTGGGAGAACACTTTTACCCCAAGTTCGAACCCCTCCTATACAGGTATAGGATCATTATAAAAAATATCATTATTTTACTATTTTGACTTCATCATATATACTTCTAACCTTGTGACTCAAAATATAGTGTGGTCACATGTTGATCTCATTACTTATAACGTTAAATTTATTGTGTTTTAATCAAATGATTAGTAAAATATATGAGGGATGAATATAATGAATTAGTGTGATCGCCATAAATTTAACGTTATGATCAATAATAAGATCAAGATGTAATCACACTATATTTTGGGTCACAGGATCGCATATGGATAATAGTATGTACTGAAGTCCAAATAGCAAAATAATGGTATTTTTGTCTAATGTCTCCTAGCCATATCACCAATATAAAATAAAAACGTTTTACATGGGGATAGATACTTGGGAGTATTGGAGAAAAGAGAACAACTTCCACTCAACACTCTGGTAAATGTCGATACAAAAAAAAACACCCTAATAAGTGCATCTCATTATATAAACATGTTTCTCTACAAGTTTTTCCATTCGTTCGTTTGTGTGACCTGCGGAGTCAAATAACCATTTGAAACCAGTTATGAATGATCATCGAGTTTATCCGTGGAGCTTACGTGAAAGATGTACACGCGCAGAAAATCACGATGAAAACGATGAAATAAGTTTTCTGGACGAGTGGCGCCAACAATTCACACCCCCGACCGACAATCACTGGGACCCTAAGGCGGTACCGGAGGTAACGAGCACTAACTTCCGAGGGATGGTGGCCGAGAACACGATATGTATATCGAACGTGCAGACGGATGTTGCCGGAGCCGTGAAGTTTGTTGCGGGATAGAGGGTCTTCGATGGACTGTCATTTTCCGACCGAAAAGATCCCCATCGAGAGTGTTCCAACATTTATAATAATACAATAATATTTGCATGATACACATAAGAGGACCTTTTTCAACACGTAGGTTAACGGGTATGAATATCCAATATTATGTTTCACATAGGATCAGTTTGAAATCTCAATTCTCGACGAGTATCTGATAAAAGTATTGTCAGATGGTACTAGGAAAGACAGCCAAAGAACAAGCCATGAATCGCCGGAGAGTCGCAGCAAGTTTTTTTAATAATCATTTTCCCCAAATCCAGTAGCAGCAAAATCCAAACCAACCAACAGGGAGGCAACAAAGTCCGATACAAAAAAAAAAGATAAGTTTTTTTAAACCTAAAAAAAAAGAATCTCACTTCTTCTCTTCTTTCTCGGCCTCGGCAGCTCTCTTTGCCCTGGCACCGACATGGCGTTGATTTGTACGCTCTAGACGGATCTTGTCATAAGCCTTGAACGATTTCATGGCCTCTGTGACCTTCACAAGCTCCGACGCCGGCTTCTCCCTCACAATCGGCATGTGTTCTCCTTGCACTTGGGTTGCATTTGCAAGCTCCTCCGGAGCAGAATCACCAGCCTGCTCAAGAAAACAATAATCGGGTTTTTCAGTTAAGGTCCAAATCCGACCAAACATAAAACAACAGGCCCCTTTTCATCAGACATATATGGGATTGTGATGTACAAGTAATATAGCAATTGTTAAGACAGATACCTTGACTTTACGGGCACGGCGGGGGAAGATGACCAACTTGGCCTTGTACATCTTCAGCCTCTGGACATTGGTCTGAAGTCCCTCCAAGGAACGGTTCTTGCGTCGGTGATCGACCGCTATACCGATAGTTGGGGCCAACTTCTTTGGGATACCCGCAGCCTGGTATATCGTACAAAATTAAAATTAAAGCTTGATACTTCAAAGGGCTTGAACATCTAAAAGAAGGAAAGATGAAGCAAACCTTGAGTTCTTCAAGGGTAAATCCTCTGCCAGCTCTAACTTTCATGTTGTACTTCAGGGTTTGCCCATGCACAACAGGACGCAGAGGTCCAGCAGTGGGTCGGGGGAATATCTTCACAGCCTTCTTCTGTCTCGCTGAAAACAAATACCACCAAAGAGAAATCCTAAGCAGCACAGCCAATGGAAATGCAAAAACGGATCCAAGATTTTTTTTGTTTGAAGCAAGAAAGCCAACAGGATGATCACTCACCGATCCTTCTTCTGGTTTTCCGGGCAGGCTGGTTGAACCATGTTTTGACATAATTCTGCCAATGCTTCTTAAAGTGCCCATTGGGGATAACGTTGTTGTGCTTCATTTCCGAGACTCAACTGGAACACCCCAACACAGACTGAGCTAAGATACATATAGATATGAGATCAGTACAGAGAAATAACACATCACTCAACGCAGAAGTTATCATAAATTGAACAGCTATCGCAAAAATAGACCCTGGAAATAAACAGATTCGCTAAATCTAGAAACAGAGCATCATCAAGTAGCATCATCGTACATAACATGATATATACCCGCATTTAATAAAGCGTAAAAAAGAACATAAGCTGAAAGCCTGAAACCCAAGTTCATTAGGCAATTCCAGAGCTAAACTGAAATAGAAATCAATGCAAGGATCTCACAAATGCTGAAACACGATACGAAAAGCGAATGGCACAAATTTCGAAATTCGAAACAAAATAATTCGATTTCAAAAACGAAAATGACAGCTAAACCGAGATACCAGTTGGCGTTACTCTTAGCACAAGCGCTAATCCAATGATTGAGAAGATAAGACTCGTTGAGAGACAATGGCGAACAAGAAAGAGAGAGGGTTAGGTACCTAGAGAGCGCCTCTCTCCTCGTCCTCGGCGGCAAGCGACTGAAATGGCTAGGGCTTCCGCCTTCACATATATATCACAAACCTAATTCCAGAGTGTTTTTCTTGTAGTTTCGGGCTTACCAAAATGTCATTAAAAGCCACATTCCATATCCATTTACCAAATGGGCCCGGCCCATCCAAACTTTTTTTTAAAACCGGGCAGAGGAGCGGAGGAAGTTTGTTTCGTCTGGTGGACAAGGCGGAGGGGACTAATACTTTATTTTTTTTTTATTTAGGGTAACTTAAAATTTAGATATTACTCAACCCCTGCACTAAACAATCTCTAAAATTTTCAAACTATAGGGAAGATCAGAAGAAGCCAAAGGCAAAATGAATCTTTTGATCCAAAAAGAATCAGACATGTTGTAGACATCTGAGATAAATACATAACGTTATACATAATAAGTATGCGATTTGTTAGGGTAATAATGCAAAGATTGAGACCATAGGGTTTTACAGAGAGAATACAAATTATGTGCTCATATCAATGTCTATGAAGAATAGGGGTTTCCATGTGTGCGTGTGTGTGTGTATATTAAGAGAGGAACGTCATACTATATATAAATTTCACCATTGGTTTTGCCAGCGTTGGATGGCTTGATGGAGGGCATGGTTAGGGATGAGGTTGCAGTCTTCCATCTTGACGTTTGTCATCGGGGAAGTGCCGCGCCCTTTCGCTAACCACTCTCGGATTGCTTCCCCTTCATACGTGAATCCGTCCGCTGCTATCAGCGGGTCTTTCATCAGTTCCTGCCCATATCACATCGTCATATAATGAATTCCAAATATCAAGCTTTGAGTTTCAGCTGCCATATATTCTCCCTCATGAAATGCAGATGAAATTTTTTAATACCTGAAAAATGGGGCAGAGGAAGTGAGAAGGGGCTCGACGGCGAGCTTTGTGGTCAGAGTATGAAGATGATGGCGGAACCCTCATCCGCTCTATCACCCGCAGAACCACTGACAGGTCTGGTCGATTCAAAGGGTTCCTTTTACAGCAGTGCATTGCCGCATTAGCCAGCTTTCGGGCAAGTGCAACAGGCCATTCTCCGGCTGAACTATCCAGGACCGAACACAAGGTATCATTTTCTAAGGCACATTTGACTTCTCTTAGTATCCCTGAAACAGGTCTCTTGGTAAGCAGCTGAAGGAGAATGATCCCGAATGAGTATACATCTAATTCTGGTGTCAATCGTCCAGAGACAGAGAAATTTGGATCTGTATGAACTGATTTGTCGACGTTAGATCGAGGAATCAACTGAGAAACCCCGTTGCCGGTGATCTTGGTGACGAGATTGGAATCAAGGAGAATCTTGGAGGGTTTCAGGTTTCCATGTATGATGCAGGGCATGTTGGAGTGAAGAAACAAGAGGGCGGAGCAAATCTCCGAGGCAATCCTGATCCGAGTCTCCCATGAGAGCGGGGGAATGTTGTGTCTGGAGGATAGATGATCTTGGAGGCTGCCATTCTCAATATACTGATAAACGAGGGACCGTGACTCCGTGCAAGCCCCCATAAACATTACCAGATTCGGATGCCTCACCCTGCTTAGAATTTCCACCTGATATCCAACCATGAATCAGGCATTAACAAGGCAATGCACATGTATATATCTATAAGGTCTTTTACCTGATGCTGGAACTCCAAGTGAGTCTGGAAGCCATAGAAGGGCAACATCTTTACAACAACTTGAAGATGTTGAAGATACCCCTTGTAGATGCCTCCGTATTTTCCTTCTCCAAGTTTCCAGGATGAGTCAAATTCGTTAGTGGCCTCGTGGAGTTCCATGAAGGAATACTTGAGAATTTTTGTTCCACGAGAAATTACAGACTGCCCTTTTACCGGTTTCCTCAATGCATTCACCTCTCTCACCGCTTTCGCGTGCTCTATCCGCCTCTCATCCCTTTTCTGCTTGAAGCTTTTAAAGAGCTCCATAGCTGTCACAAAATTTTCATCGTATTCTTTTTCCATATCTCCAATTTTGCGAATTTGGTTCTCCAGCTGTAGATTCTGGCCCTGAACCATCTGGAGTTCTTTCATGAATTCGTCATACTGGTCCTTTACCTTTTTAACTTCTTCTCTCTCCCTTCCCAGCAATTCTTCCAGCTTTTTTCTTCGGCTCATCTCCTTCATGCATAAGTTGTCCAAGGCTTTGGACTGCAAGAGGATGGCATGAAAAAACACGATAATCAACCGTCAGAAACAAAATTGACAAATGTATAAGCTAGCTATGAAACCCCTCTCAGTCTGATTTAGATGGGTCAACAAGGAAAAATGGATGGAGTGAAAAGAAACCACTTACAAACTCCTAGCTGGTCAAGAATTGATCAACTGAAAATAAATACATAACCTTGCATATAGCCTCCATGGTACTGCCATCATCCTTCCACTCGCTTCTAGCTTCTTCATAGACAGTTCCCTCTGTCTGGCCAGCAGCGTTATTGATTTTATCATACTTACGATGAGCTTTGTGTACCGTATCTTGTTCACACTTCATCTCCTGAAACTCCACAGGTATCACCCACTTATCATGTGGTATTATCAATGTTTGCTCCACTTAAAGGTATACAGTATGTTCTTCCCTTGTGATCGAAGTTCTGATATATGATGCAAATACAAATTACTCTCTCTTCAACTGTTTCCTTACAATCACATTTCACAGCATATATATACAAAAGCTTCAAAACAAATCAGCTACTGTGATAATCGCTTTGCCAGTTGTAACTTATCCGCAGGGCATACGAAAAGGGATCTACATTGTCTAACACACATAAGAGATGGAAAAGTAAAGCTGCACCAAACTCTCTCACCTCAACGGTTAACGTAGTCACTGAATCTGAGCCAACAGAGGAACCTGAACCCGAAGAAAAATGACGAATAGAATCCCATGTCTCTTTCTCCAATTCACAAGTGTCTTTATCAGCATCTGCACAATTCTGTAACAAAGTTATCTACAGAGACAGGAAAACCAATCGATAATCACAGGTATGATAGGTTATGCAAGTCAAGGGCAATCACTACCTTGTTCAAGGAGACTACGCCAATATCTTAGTCTTCTCATCATATAAGAAGATTCCAAGTTTTCTGATTCCCTGGTCCCAGTATCTGAAACTGGCTGTAGTAGAGGAGGCATCATTTCCCTGTTAGCACTTTCTTCATTTGTTGCCCTGTTTTGAAAATCATTACTTTCTTTAAGAGTGAAGTGAAGTGGCAAACAACTTAAATCGCTATTCAAAATATCCTTCCTTCTTTAACAGCCAAAATAGCCATCCCCAGGAAAAGAATTCACCTTGTAAAGATAAGGTAACCTTTACACAGAAACCAGATATGACATGAAACAGGTGCTCTTTGGCAAACAAACGTGGATCTCTTAGACTTCAAATCAGTCATTTTCCTGTCATTTCAATTTACTTTGGTCATGTGAGGCCCCAAGCAAAATAATATTTAAAAATAACAATTACTGATATAGAATTACATCCAACTCTCGACATATTTTTCCAAACAAACTACATCACTGAGACTGGAATCGAGCTGATAATATTTGCATAAATGGGATTAGATGAATCATTTGTTTCCCTGCCAATCTATCAGCTAGAACAAAGTCCTCAGCCCACGGAAGAATTTTCATAGCAAAAACATCTGTCAAGCTCATGAATCGCATCTCACTTTAATTCAATGACGAATTCAAAGAATTCTGACTGTGAATTTATTTCATAATCAAATATGGCTAGGAGAGACAAGGCAATAGTTTTTTTTTTCTCTCATCTATCCAAACAGAGGCTTCACAGATGTAGTTCCTTTTTAAGCTATCCGTGGTAGAATGATTAACTTCACCCAAACAACAACTAATTAAATTTATACAGACTCCATACCATGAATAATGATTATCTGATGCAGCTCCCATTACGAACCACTTAATCTTGTGCTGAGCAATCAGTTCAACAATACCTTCCTCAATATTTGGCCTCTCAATCCACAACTTATCTGTTCGAACCTAAAAACTAGATCGATCTGTTAGTTTATTATATGAAAAGGGTCCAACCAAGAAAGTCCAAAATGTCGCAAGAATCTTGGTTCTAAATTTTTAAGTACCCATCAAATATCAAATGATGTTATTTTGTGTCTTTCTCTTTACTCAGTAAAAATGTTATCCACCCGAGATTCAAGAAACATCCAAAGCGAGCTGCCAAACTTTTATTTCACATGGACTTAAAACAGTAAGACAATGGTTTGCGAGTGTTTACAATCAACTACGAATAAAAGAAATGAGAGAGGACCAATACCTCAGATTCAGATAGAAGGCGAAGATAAGAATCCATAAGCTCGTCCACTTTTTGGCTCTCGTCGTTCTCAATCACCATGACAGAATGCTGTTTAAACTTACCAGCAACAAGTTTCTTGTCTGCCAAGGGTAAAGCAGATACTTAGAAAATGGAGACATTATGTTCAGTCACAGACATTATCCCATCTTGTGTAGTCTTTTAAACATGCATCCTCTTTTTTCTTCTTCCAAGTTTTTGGTAAAAAGCTAGAAAATGGAGACAAGATAATAAACAAACGTTTCTACATTTTCGCCCATTTTATCAGAGATCGAACAAAAACACATGAGTGAATTCAGTATTACTCTGAATTCCTTGTTTTTCTCAGCAACCTAACAGATGATCATCAGAAATCAGCTTGACATTGAAGAGAAATGTCAAGTTGTGAGCAAACCCAGAAAAGCAACGAAACTCCAATTTTTCACTCGACTTCTACCATTTTCCGCACTAAGCAAACAGATCACGACATCACACAAAACTTGAGTTCACTCCCAAATTCGAAAATTAGAGAGAGAGGAGAATATCTCACTCCACGGCGGGGGCCGAGCCGGACGGTAAACATGAATCAAGCAAATCCTCTTGCCGGAGAAGTTTCGCGCCGCCCAAAGCACCGTCGTTTTGCTCCTCTCAACATCCTCCGCCACTGCCACGAAGATCGTCTCATCCACGTCGAATAAAGCTTCATCTCCGCCTATCTCTCCGACACTCCCCATCTCTCTCTTTCTCTCTCTCTGTAGCCCTCTATACGTATAGGCGGAGATACAAACGCATGTGGCATAGAAACGGCTTTATAAAGGAGCTCGTCAGAGTCCGGTTGTTGAAACCGTTTTTTTTTCTGGTTCGCTGAGTCGCTAACTCGGTGATGAGTCCACCGACGTGCCGACTTGGAAGACAAAAGTTGGCTCTTTTCGGCGAATGCTCCTACCTGCGAGCGCATAAAACTTGAAAAAAAAAAGTTAAATACTAATTTGTAAGTACAAATTTATAAAATATATTATTATAATTTTCAAATTATAAAAAAGATTGACAACATTTATCCTATTAAATTATTTTATAAATTTGGGAATAAATTTATCGAACAAAAAAATTAAAAATTAGATTTTTACCGTTTTATAAATTTAAAAATTTTAATGGAATTTACTTTTAAAATGTTTAAACTATACTATTTTTGAAATAAAAAATTATCATCTCCTACATCATAATATCGGAATAAAAAAATCAACTGAAAAACTGATAATATCATATTTTTATCAATAAAAATTAAAATAATCAAAATAATAAAATTCAAATATAATCGAAGCGAACCTAACCTAACCCAAAGTGAAATCTGAAATGTCCATTCCTAGATGGCACAACCGTTCACAAAAACTATTATTAGAGATTTGTTTATTAAAGTTAGATTCATATGATTATGAAAGACATGAACTGTTTATATATTCGATCGATTCTATTGCAATGTACGATATTAATAAGATATTGATATCGAATCTGATTCATACGAAAGATCCGATGTCGCTACGGAATGTCAAAGATGTCCTCACACACTAACATATGACCTTTTAGCGTGTTTTTGTCTTCACTCGCAGACATCCTGAAAAATACTTCCTAGGAGGTCACACATCATAAGATTACTCCAGAGCGAGCACGCTTAACTTTGGAGTTCTCTCGAGATGGACAACCGAAAAGGTAGATGCATCTTGTTACTATGAGTAGCTCAATTAATTCCTTTTAAGTTATCTATGACTGTGTAGTCACATACCTACACAGCTTTCGGATCCCTCTCATCCTGATGCGTTCAATTCATCCCTGTACCCCCTACCCAGAAGCTCACCAGGAGCTGCTCCTTGTCCGTGCCTCTCGCACGGCGATCATCCCACCCTCCTATGGTACCAGACTGTCACACGTCCACCACCTTCCACCTGGTTCGTCCTCGAACCACACCATAATGGGAGAGTACCGCGTCTGATACCATTTATAACGACCCGAGACCGCATAGAATGTCAAAATTATCCTCACACACCAACACGAGACCTTTTAGCGTGTTTTGTTCTCACTCGCACACATCCCGGAAAGTACTTCCCATGAGATCACCCATCATAAGACTACTCCAGAATGAACATGCTTAACTTTGGAGTTCTCTCGAGATAGATAACCGAAAAGGTAGATGCATCTTATTGCCATGAGTAGCTCAATTAATTCCTTTTAAGTTATCTATGACTGTGTAGTTCTATACCTACACAGCTCTCAGATCCTTCTCATTCGGTGCATTCGATTACTGTACCTCCTACCCACACTACAAAAAAATCATAAATTCCAACCGGCAAATCCGTTGGAAACGGCCGAAAATCCGTTGGAAATGTCGATTTCCAACGGATATGTCTGTTGGAGAAACGTCATTGGAAATTCGATTCCGTTAGACATCTGTGGAAATTTCCAACAGAATTCCAACGCGTGAATCCGTTGAAATATTGCAACGGATTTTCAACGGTTATAGTCGTTGCATAATTCCAACGGATTTTCAACGGTAGTTCCGTGGAATTATTCCAACGTTGTACCAACGGTTGCCCGTTACAAAATTGTCTCATATATCCGTTGGAATACCCGTTAGAAAAATGCCATGGATTTCCAACGGCATTAGCCACGGAAATCCGTTGGCAATTCCGTTGGAATAGTCGTTGGAATGTTACAACGGCTATCCGTTGGTAAATTGTAACGGATATCCGTTTGAATACTGCATTGGAAATTTGCAACGCTCTTTGTGACAGATATCCGTTGGAATGCCGGTTGGAAGCGAAAAAAATTAATAAAAAAATAAAATAAATATTTAAAAATAAAATAAATATTATTATATATATATATATTTATTATATATTAATTAATAAAAATTATATATTTAAATATATATAAATATAATATAAAATAAAAAAATTAAAATATTAAAATAAAAGAAATATTATTCAAATATTACAAAATAAAACCAAAATTAAAATTAATTAGCACTACGGGTTTCTTCGTCCTCACTGGTCCCGAGATTACGTGTCGTAGTTTTAGATCCCGAACTTGGCGACGTGTTGTGAAGTGGGCGATCACCTTGCATAAGCTCAACAATTTGTTCGAGGTTACTCACTTGTTGCCTAGTCGCCGCAAGCTGTTGTTCGAGTGTCTCGATCCGCCGTTGTTGTTCGAGATCACTCTGCATGCCGGGAGGAATTGCAGCACCGAAATCATCAAACAAATCTCTCTGCAATCCGCTCAATCCATAGATGTTGCCCTTATTTGGAGAGACCAACTGAAATATCCACTATTTATTCGCTCAGAATAAATTTGCACAGAAACTTGCAAATCATCCAAATATCCATTATTTATTCGCTCAAAATAAATTTGCTCTCCGATTTGTATAACAGGTCCTTCCTCTGTAACAATTTTACCTTTGATAAAAAGCGTACGATTTTGTCTAAATGGATGATTCCTTGGAAGAAATCTGCGATGATAGTCAAACCAGCACGACTTTCTCCCATGTCTCAACTGAAACGCTTCGGTTTCCTCCATGCAAAACGGATATGTAAGTTTCCATGTGTGCTCCATCCCGATAACATTCCATACGCCGGAAAATCACTAATCGTCCAAAGAAGAACCGCTTTAAGTGTAAAATTTTGTTTCACACTTATATCATAAGCAGGAACTCCAATGTCCCACAAATCCTTCAACTCCTTAATGAGTGGCTGTAAATACACATCAAAACTCTTCATCGGATGTTCTAGGCCAGGAATCAATAATGTCAAAAACATAAATTCTCTTTTCAGGCACATCTCAGGTGGTAAGTTGTACGGAGAAAGTATAACGGGCCATAACGAATACTGCATGCCAGACTGTCCGTACAGACTAAAGCCATCAGTGCACAAACAAAGATACACATTCCTAGGCTAAGCAGCAAATTGAGAAAATACCATATTGAAGTTTTTCCACGCCAAAGCATCCGATGGATTCATACAAACGCTTCAATCTGTACGATACCGGCATATAGAATTTTATACAGAGTTTGTCTATGTACATTCTTACTCGGACGATATCTGTTAGCCCCACAGAATTTATACTTAACTAATTCTTTTTCTTCACCCCAATAGAGCATGCAACCATTTTTGCAAACAACAATCTTTTCATAAGGCATTCCAAATTCTTCAACATAGCCTTCGTATCATAATACGATTCTGGAACTTCGTTATTTTCAGGTAAATACTCACCTAATGTTTAACAAAATGAATCCATGCAACTTTCGGTGACATTGTAATCCCTTTTCATACTCATCAATCTTGATGCGAGAGATAAATGAGACTGACCTTCTTTACATCCTTCATAGATAGGATGATTTTCCATATGCAACATGTCGAAAAACCGTTTTGTTTCGACGTTTGGCTCCTCCTCTTGTGAGTTTTGATCAACCAATGCCCCAGAAAAAACATCTGTCACCATTTCAACATAAGGATTTCTTATAACTTCATCTACATCATACCTCTGATCGGCCGACACATGTTGTCCCGTTACAGTGATTGTCCGAACTTCTTGCCCATGAAATCGCCAAATATAATAGTCATCCACAAATCCCCTTCGAAATAGATGTTTACAAACATCTTCTTGACTGCTATATTTAAAATTTCGACAACTTATACATGGACATAGCATTTTTCCATGTTCTTGGCACAATGGCTGCATGGAAGCAAAATTCATAAATTGTTTCAAACCGGTAATGTGTTCTTGCATTACCTCTTTTGTAATCGGATCATCTCTTTCATATATCCACTGTCGGGATGAACGAATATTCGGATTTGTTGAAGAAGCCATTTTTGGGAGAATTTTTGGTGTAAGAATAGTAGAAGAATGATTTAGAGAGTGGTTTGGTAGAAAAATGGCCGGATGATTTAAATAGACGAAAATTCAAACGGATATCTGTTAGAAATCCGTTGAATTTCGTCGACTGTTAAATATTCCAACGGACACCTGTTGGAATAATTCGAACGTTATAACGTTCGACTATTTCCAACGGATGTCCATTGGAATCATTTCCGCGTTTCATAACGTTCGAATTTTCCGACGGGTGCCCGTTGGAAATGGTCGAACATTATTTCTAACGGATTGCCGTCGGAATATGCGTGGGAAATGTCCAACGCTGGTATCCGTTGATATGCCGTTGGAAATTCCAACGGATTTCTAACGGATACGTCCGTTACACATCCGTAGGAATTCCGTTGCAATTCCGTTGGAAATAGGATATATCTGTTGGAAAAATCCATTGGAATTTCGCATTTTTTTTGTAGTGCCAGAAACTCGTCACGAGCCGCTCCTTATCCGTATCTCTCGCACCGACGATCACTCTCCGCCCTCCTAGGGTACCCGGACTATTACAGACCCACCATCTTCTGCCTGGTTCATCCTCGAACTATACTATACTGGAAGAGTACCGCCTTTGAACGAACCGAGGCCACTACGGAATGTCAAAGTTGTCCTCACACACCAACACGAGACCTTTTAGCGTGTTTTGTTCTCACTCGCACACATCCCGGAAAGTAGTACTTCCCATGAGGTCACCCATCGTAAGACTACTCCAGAGTGAGCACGCTTAACTTTGGAGTTCTCTCGAGATGAATAACCGAAATGGTAGATGCATCTTGTTACCATGAGTAGCTCAATTAATTCCTTTCAAGTTATCTATGACTCTGTAGTCCTATATCTACACAGCCCTCGGATCCCTCTCATTTCGGTGCGTTCGATTTATCCCTGTACCTCATACCCGGAAACTCTTCAGGAGCCGCTCTTTATCCGTATCTC